GTCAAAGGTATACATGCAGATTCAAATGCATACATACAATCACTTAAATCTTTTAATAAGTGGTGTTGAAGGTTCTATAATGTATTGACTCTGACTTTCTACAATGAGAAAGTCCAAGCAACTCAGTAAAGATCTAAGACAAGGAACTGTAGATTTACAGAAGCTGGGAAGGTCTGTTGGAGCTATTTCTAAAATACTGCAGATTCCAAGATCATAAGTTCAAACATTTGCATGTCAGTACAAGTTATTTGGATGCGTCACTACTTTGCCAAGGTCTGAAAGAAGACCAAGCTATTACCCTGAGATGAGAGAAAGTTGGTTACGATGTAGGGAACAATGCAAGAACTAGCAAAGATCAAGCATGCCATGAGCTGGAAACTGCTGGGACACCAGCGTCACTGTCCACAGAGAATGATGTCAACACATAAAGGAGGATAACATGAAACTTCTGGAATGACCTTCTCAAATACTCAGTCCTAAATTTTAATCCGGAAATTTATGGACTATGCTTAAAAGTTTCAGGTGAGTGCCAGAAAACCAACTAACTGACTAAATGAACTCCAGTTATTTTGCCAAGAAGAGCGTTCAAATATCCAGCCAGAACTATCCCAGAACCTCGTTGATGGCAACCAAAAGCATCTGTTTGAGGTGTAACTTGGTAATGGAGATTTCATCAAATATTAATGGGGGTGTGGACATGTATTTGAGCATGTATGTATACTTTGGACAATGTGTCGAGGACAGAAAAACCAAAATAAATTCAAACTTGTCGAACCAATTCTTTCATTTTTTAAACTCGTTAAAGAACAGTTCAAATAAAAACTCCAAACTTACCATCATATTCACGCCCACTGTGAGTGTATGTGATCTTCTGACCAAAAAGCAATTTTGAGCCTTTAAAAAAACACTCATAACAAACCCACTAATCACTCAATACTGAAATACCTCTCACAGCAAGATACTTAAAGCTCCAGCTGATACTGTCATTTCCTATCCTACATCTTTGCGTAAATGCAGGATGATGTGACTCGTGTTATGACACTGAATAGGTCTGGCTCATGAGAACGTATGGTATGCACGAACATGTGTACGCTTGTGAGTGGAAACCTCCATTCAGTGGAAGCCTTGTCCCTAATGTGTCCCCTCACGATGTGAAGTCAAATCCACTTAAAACCACTGTGTCAGGATTCATAAAGAGAATGGCTGCAAACTGGGCTTTGACCCACAAACCTCGAAGTGGCTCTCACACGCTGGCAGGATATGTGGCGGCTGAGCTGGCTGTAACAGGACAGTCTCTCCTTTTTGATAACAGGGATACAAAACACGACAGCCTTCTTCTGCCCCAGCCCTTTTCTATAGATTATCCCGGTTATGCAACATATCGTTTAGATCTCAGCAGTCAATTTTTGCTGATGTTCAATATATAAAGATGTGGTTTAAACACATTTCACAGATGGTGCTGGTGGATTGCATGAAATAACGCACACACAGAACTTTCCAGCTTTTTTTCCGTTTCTAAAATGACTTCATTATTTTTCCTGCAACTCTCTGAAAATCTGTCCACTTAAGGGAGGGAAGGAATAGACCTTTTCTGTTTTGGAAGGCTTCACAGCTTCTCTCACATAGAGCTCTGTGAATACTGTGAAATGAGGAATAACCTGCTTTTAGGTACCAAAACAATTACTGACACACCTCCCAGCTAAGTATCAATTATGACGCTCAGGGCTATAGTGAAACAATCTGAGAGCCACACCCTGAAACCCTGACTTCTAATGAGGGACAAAGTCATTTTGATTTATCATTGCGCTGCAGTCATTTTACTGGCAGTATATTTAATACTGATGAGAAGCTACAGAAAGATTGGAGAACACCGGAGACATCCATCAAATACTACTGCTGCAGATATCTGACTCATGCCTGCTGGCAACTGCATTAGTGTGTGTTTTAAAGATACCATTAAGGCATCATGTGGAGATCCAAGTCTGTGAGGCATAGTGTTACTAGTGTATGTGTGTGTGTGTGTGTGTGTGCACGCGTGCATTTTAAATGAACAATTTCAACTCATGAAATTATCTTCTTATACAATTTAGGTGTTCTACTGTGATTTGAGCCTAACCATGTATAAATGGATGGGATTTCCTTTAAAAGGAAATTGAATGGCACTTTTCTTTTCTTACTAACCGATCAAAGCACTATAAAACACATTTGCTCATGCAATCATAGGTAAATGCATTTGGATGGTGCTCTAGTCTATGCACTGTAAACACTTTACCTGACATCTGTGGTAAGTTTAGCATCACAGATTATCTCAGTGACTAAACAGAGGACGAACGTGCACGCACCCAAGACTCGGAAGGCTTTTGAATAGAGGACCTTCTTGCTCTATTATTTTTTGTTATACATGCATTGTTGTAAAGGTGGAAGCTCACATTAAACAGAGCCAAAATTTCAAATAACGAGGTCTGCGCATGGAGACATAATCCTATTGAATCAAAAGCTCCAGCTTCAGATGGCTTTCTCTACTCTTGGCTCTGTATGATGTCAGAGAGAGAGGATAGCCCTTATATGGTAATCTGAAGCGCAAAGCTCTGAAGCTCCACCTACTTGCTGTTCAGACCTTTTGTTTGTGTGTGGTAGCCAATTAGAAGAGAGCTGGCTTATAACAGCATGTCCCACCTTGGAAGCTGAAAAATGTTCATACCCCACATCCCATGTTTGTTTGTTTTTTTACTATTAACAAAAAAACAAAACAAAAATCACTGAATTTCATTGAAGGCCCAGCATCAGTAAAGTCTTGCTTGTTTATTTACCCTTACAACAGTCATTAATTCACTCTGAAGCAGCTCTTCTTAGACAGGATGAACTGTAGGGCAGCAGTTTTTCTGAACTGTAAATCATTGAAAAATAGTCTTAGAAAATAATAATATGGAGTTGGAATGAATGCTTAATAGGTCCACTTTAAGTACTGTTTGAAAAGCATTTAAAAGGAAGTCTTTCATCTCTGTCCTCCTTAGATGGAGCTGAGCAGGCTGTTAAGGTCTGTGCTAAGCTTGTTGTTTTCCCGGCAGAGACACGACTACGGCTCTGGATTGATTTGCTCCTGCGGTGAATACACACACCAGCCAGCAGCCTCCAGCTGGCAGCAGGAAGACCCGACCAACGTTGTCTCCGCAGGAGAGCTCATTGTCCCGCCCCTGCGGTGCATCATCTCACACTCTTCCTGCCTGCAAGATGCAAACATCTATATATGCATTGGAGACACCCTATTAACCAAAGTATGACTTTTTTGTGACATCATTATACCTTGGACACCAAAGTGCAAAGCTATGAGAGTGAAATATTGTGCATGTGCATGTTTTAAGACCAAAATATCACCTGGATGATGTGTAGTGCTTTTAGGAAACCATAAAATGCTGTCCTGAGCCAAGAATGTGGTACATGATGTGACAGACAGTCGTTTATGAAACTATAATATCCCACTGGGTGATGAAATCCTCTAAACATTTTATAAGAGGAGATGTCTGACTAATAACTTTATGTAAGTTATTACAATTATGAAACCAAGCAGCATTTAAAATGAAAGCTTGGCCTACACTGACCTCTAGTGAAGACATGACAAGTGTGCACACGGAGAACAGAAGGAGCAGATTCTATTTCATTTTTTCTCCAGCATATGAAAGGAAATCCCTAATAAAAAAAAACAAAAATATTAGCATGAACAGTTAAAACCATTAACACCAGACTATTTCCTTCGGTAGTTTTGTTGTTAGATTACAATCTGGTTACCAGACGCCTCCATGTGGCCAAACTGAGACACTTCATAGGCAAGAGTTGAGCAGAGGCAGACTGCAGAATATAGAGCAAATCAATGCAAAACGGTTTGCTTAAATAATTTATGAATGATACACAAACAATGAATACATGGTTTATAGCAGACTGTAAACTTACAATTTTAATGTGTATCAGATAGAGCTGTGAAGGTAGTAACTGCTGTTTTATATTTACAGTTTGAGTTAGAACTCGATGTAATAAATCAGCTGATTTAGACCAGGGCAGACTCAAATAGTTTACTTTAAATTCACTAACTGCAGCTTTTTCACTGAAAATGTAGCTTCTTCTTTTTTTTAAAGAACATTTCCACATGCGAACTTGTGTTCTGGTAAACTGATGGGCTCAGCACTGTGTATTCAGGTGATCATTAACAACATCTATTCAACCAGTCACATGGGAGTAAATCAGTTCATTTAGTCCTGCAGACGTGGTGAAAGATGACCTGCTAAAGTTCAGCTCACATAACCACTCATTACAGCAAAGGTACATTGAGCCTCGAAGCAGATTGGATACCACAGCAGAAGATCACACCAGGTGAACAAGAAATCAAGCTACAATTGGCAAGATTGGAAAAATCTTTCCTGATCCAAGTTTGAATTTCAGATGATACATTTGGATGAAGGATGAGAATTTTGGGTAAACAACACAAAAACAGGGAAAACATCTTGGCTTGTATCAGCTGTTCAGGCTGGCAGTACTGACGTAATGGTGCAGAGCATGGTTTCTTGAACATGACGTGATGAGTTCATTGTACTCAAATTGCCTGTATAGTTACCAGATGTGAATCTGGTAGGGCACCTTTGGGATGTGGTGAAACAGAAGATTCAACTGTGTGATGCTTTCATGTCAACATGGACCAAAATCTCTGAGGAACCTTTCCAGCACCTTGTTGAATCCATGCCATTAAGAATTAAGGCAAAGCGGAATCTCTTATACTCTTCATATCTACTTTATCCTTTGTTTAGTGGTTTGGTTTATGCATTATTTAACTGCTTGACTCCCCTCTCCTTTTTGGGCAATTTTTAAAAATATTTTACATATAAAACTTATTTGTTGATTAATCAAATCTTGCATTTGGAAACCTCTGCGGCCATAACAGAGCAAACAAAAACAGCATCCATACATCCACAAGGACTCACACAGCGGCACATCCTAAGAAATTTCCCATCTTGTGTCAAGAGTTTAGTTTATTTTGACAGCGTTTCAGAATATCATACAGGTAAACAAGATTTTTGCAAAAGTTAATATATTCATAGTGTTGCATTTCATAAAAATAGTTGCTCCACTTACAGTCTTTGTGACCATCAATAGTACACCGAGTCATATTTATAGAGATATTTGTTCAGGGTCTACACACTGCTATTACACTACACAGTGATACCGAGCCGCTCAGGTTGTCGGGGTTTATATTGTGGTGCGAAAGCGTGTCTTTGTTGTTCTCAAACACACACTTTAACACACCCCTAGGTTTTTTTTTTCTTTTTTAAATTTCCCTAGAAAACTACTTACAGTTTGACTCGATGGAGACAGCTCAGATGTGGAAAGCAGTGATTTGTGCAAAGGCAGAGCAAAAAAAGACACACGTTTCCCTGCTTCTGCTCAAATCTGAAGTCACAAAATAAAGGAGTAGTCCAACTAAATGGGTGTGATGTGACGGTGTGTAACTGAGGCATTTTACAAGTGACTGAAAAAGCTCAATTGTTTGCTCCCGGCTGGTGATTCCTCCATTCCTCCCATTTCAAACCCTCTGTGTTGGATTGTGTTTTTAAGTCAGTCTGCTTAGTGCGTGTGTAATTACGGATTACAACGGCAAACATAATGACTTGTGTCCCTCTGCTCACTCAAACACTATCAGTATGTCCCTCAGCAGAAGAAGGAAAGGAGGTTTTTTGTTTTTTTCTTAGGCTCTTTGATTCTCATTCAGAGAAAAATACTCAAAATTAACAGTTTGCTAGATTCCTCCCATTCAACAGCCATTCAGTGACTCAAAGAATGCACTGCAGCCCTGTCAAGCTTTGGATTCATGCAGAGTGTGGTGTGCTTACTGTTTGGCACGTTTAAGGGTGGGTGATATCTCGGTGCAGTTATTTAGCCTCAAAACTAAAAACAATAGCAAAAGGAATTAATGCTTTATCTGTAATCCTTTGCAGGGTGACTTACAGTGTTGGGGAACAGAGAACTACATGTAACTAAATTAGTATTTTTAACATTATTTTATTATTATAGCTTGTTGGCAGTTGAACATTTGTTTTGATGCAGTGATTCATGTAATCCAATTACATGAGGGTTTTTCACTACAGAAACTACAAATAAATGTTCCATAAATGCAATGAAATAGTCCCACCCATTTTTCTGTCAGTCTGTGGGTTGATCACAGGGATTTTGGTTATTTTGTAGGGCTTTTCGGTTTCATTTAGTATTACCGAGTTTTTAATTCAAAGGTCTTTTCTGAATATTTTGATGGAGGTATCTGGAGATTTTATTAATTTATTAACTCAAGATTAGGATTAACGTTAGTCCTACTTTAGTTATAACTTAAAATGAAAAATAAAACTGAACTGTTGATTGTTATAAACAGCGACGGCTTTGGCGGCGCACTAGGCTCACATTTAAGACCCACACTGAACACCTCTCCAGACTATAAAAGTGTGGATGACACTTTTATGCATGCACAATTTAAAATGGGAATTTATTGCAGTCTGGAAATAAACCAAGATGTTTTTATTGTCAAAAGGAAAGAGGGGACTTTTTTAGCTTTTTTTTTTTTTACTGTAATCTACTGAATACCAGCTACCGTTGCTTATTTTTAGACTCCAGTACATTTTTTTCTGGCCACTTTATGAGTGTGCAGCTATCTGAACATAACACTGACATACTGGTATTATGACTTTAATGCTGTTGTGGCTAACAGGCTAGCAAACAGCTTTTTACACACGCATATGCATATTTGACCTCAGTGCAGTAGCTTTTTCTTTTGAAACATTTTAGTAATATTAATACTGTGTAAAAAAAAAAAAAAGAACTGACTTTTATCAAATTTTATTCTTTTCTTACTCATCATTGCACCTTATATGAAAACCGAGACAGTCAGCAAACATAAAGGAGCAGCTTTGCACGCTGCAAAGGTTACTAGGTTACCTCTTCTGTCTTTTTACAGGTTTGTTTTGTAAAATTACTAATTCAATCAAGTTTCCCCAACGCTCTTTATTAGTATCAGCGTAACTTTTGTACTTTTGTGTAGTTTATGTTCCAGCAACCTCAGGCAATGCTATCTGAGACAGATGAGACATTTTGTCCAACTTCACCTGACAGTCTTCATCCTAAAAATCTTTCCCTCCTGTGACATTAAATGTCAAGCTGCTTTCAAGTACCTCTGCCTGTAATCAAGAACGCGCCGTTTGAAGTCTTAGCGTCACCGTTTTATCAAACATTGTGCAAGAATAGAAAGCTTGACAGGAACTGTGGCAGTTACCAAAGGCGGCAGGGCTTAGCTAGTTACGAGCTTGATGTATAGAAATACAAGCGTTGCCTTCAAAGTCAGTCAGATTCTTGGGCAGGAATGCTTAAAAAAAAAAAAAAAAAAACAGGAACCCTCAAAAGAGCTTTGGCATGGATATATATGTCTCAATATCACACAGTGTAGACAGAATCTCTTAAAAGAAATTTAATTCAGCAGCTGACAAAGTGTCACGTTCACATGAGCATTCAGTCCTTCCTTCGAGATGCAGATTGTTACGCAAGCGAGCTTCTGAGAAGGTGAGATTGATTCTCTACTGAATTAATATCAGATTTTATTAATTTGGTTTGGTTTAGGGTGCAAAGCTCTGTCTGCCATGTGGCGACGTTTGATTACACAATCTCATATAAGCAATTCTTCATGGAAATTACTGGTGTCAGACCTCATTAAGAAATCAGTAATGAAAAGCATCATGACCCGAGATGAACCACAAATAAAAAGGGACCGTGGATACCTCCGCTAATGGACTCATTTTCATACATAAGCTTGTGAAATAAATTATATATTTCACCGTGTCACACTAAAGAAATGCAGTTTATATTTATATCTGTAGAGTGGGTGTTGTATAGCAGCCTCTGTTGAACCCTCTGCAGTATTTTCACGGTTGAACCTTTTGTCCTCAGTCTAAGGCACTCTGCCCCTTCGTTGGTATCACGCAAGCTCCTTCTCTCAGTGTCCGACAGGACACCGCTGTCGCAGATTGCTTTGATCGTTAAGCACAGAAGAAAGGAAAATAGATTGAAGAGACACTCCCACTGAAGCCCGAGTGATTCAAACAGGCCGTGCAGTCGATCGCAGCAGGCTTGCTGAGACCCAGACCTGTGATCGCAGGGCGGAACAGGAGTGTGCAGGAGCAAGGAGCTACCTAAAGATCCGGGGCACGTCGTGCTGCTTCGCTCATTTGTAGACTAGAATTTCTATATGTTCACTTAAAGATGATCTTATTTACAAAATGTTCCCACATATTCATATTCGTTATAATATATCTATGTCTATAACCATCTGATAGATTATTCAAGACAGGTTCAGGCCCAATACAGTCTCTGTTAAGGCAAAGTTTCTACTGATGAGTCGATTTTATTTCTGCGGTCGCTCTTTGATCCATTCACTCTCCTCAAAAACATCCGTTAAACATTCCTTTTCATAAAATAGACTCCACTGTGTAGATATATATAAAAAAATCCATCCGACATTTACTTCCTGCTATGTTGTTTATATTTGCATGTTTGCACCCCCCCCCTCAGTTCAGCAAAATAGAGGTCTTTAAAATTCATTTACTCCACAAATGATTCCCACCACGCTACACAAAGACTCTATTTGCTCTTCTTTTGTGTGTGTGTGTGTTAACTTGGATGATTTTCCAGTTCTTAAGGTGGTAGGTGTAAAATATGTTTCTCCAAAATAATTTAAAATACAGTTCCATAAATAAAACTTTAAAAACACGTGGTCCAGATCACCCTGCCCCCCTCCTCTTGGTTTTGACTGTATGGGAGAACAGGTCGATGAGGGGATGCAGGAGCACAGGAGGGAGTGAGAATGGTACTTTCATCCAGATGGGGTGGTTTAGTTCAGATGAGTGTGGCCACTGCTTTCTGCTGAAGCTGCGGGGTTATCTGCTCAGAGTGGACGTGCCTGTGCGCAGGGTGCTGGGCAGCTTGTCTGATCCAGGGATCTTCCAAGGTCCAGGAGAGACTGTGGCCTTCCTCCCCGCTGCGATGCTGCTGCTGCTGGTGCTCTTGTTGGGTAGGCTAGGCCAGCTCTCTCCCTGGCCCCTTTCTAGTTCCCTGGGCCTTGGCTTGCTCTGCTCCAGCTCCCCCTGCTTTGCTCCACTCCAGCGCTCTACATCTTCCCTGCTGTTCCCGTTAATGTGTGGGAGCTTAGAGCTGCTAGGAGAGTGAGTGGACTCTCTATTGTCCCTAGTATTTCTCTCCTTGGACCTTCCTCTGTTGCTTCTGGAAGGTTTAGGCTCTCCGCTCTGCCCGTCCTTGCCCCCTTCCCCATCAGGAGTTGGCTGCATCCTGAGGCCCTTGTGGGTGGACCTGCCACCCTCCTTCTTAGCTCTGCTGCTCCCGCTGGTCGCAGCCGCTCTCCTCGCGTGGCCGATTGGGTCTGGGTTTAGCAGCTCGGCTTTCTGGGGGCTCTTCGAATGCTCCGTCCTGCTGTCTCGTGCCACCGGGTCTCGATGGACATCCTGAGGTGGCAGATGAGGAAGGTCGGGGGCTGGGGCTAGATGAGATGAAGGCGATGACATGGAAAGGCTTTCGATGGGAGGGGCTATTTCCGACAGGCTTGGGGAGGCTGAAGGGCGACCATCCCATGGGGCGGCATTGTCTGGAATGCATATGGATGCAGTCAATAACAACATAACAACACCACTCACCCAAAAACATTAAAAAAAATAAACTCTAATCATTACAGCAATCATGCCTATTCTACAAGCTGGAAGCACTGAGGTAAATATCAGAACAGGACGATAACCTACTTTCAGACGTGTCACAGGGCAACTCTACTTTTAGACAACATCCATCTGCCTCCCATAACTCTCTTAAAGGCCTTGGCCAACCGAAAATGTTGGCGGAAAATCGAAAACAGGTTTAATGAAATGGATGATGTGTCCAATAGGGTGGTGCTTTAGTGAGAATGAAAACCATAGGGGCAGAGTGCCTCTCTCTTTTTCTCTAAAGCTGGAGGAACTCGGTATCGGTGTAGCTTCCGCATTGAATCTGCGGTGCATTCCTCCACAACTCTCCACTCTCACAGACTGTTAGCTTCTGTTTCCGCACCGATGAGCCTCAGTCCCTGGGCCATCAGTCATTTTCAGTGGTCTAGGCAGGGGGCAGAGGCTAGGCTTGCTACACCGGCGCCATGAGGCCCAATTATAAGAAGCTCTGGAGCATTTTGAATGCAGGACGAGCAGGAGGTCATTTCTGAGCAAACTGGAGCTTCACAGTGTTTTACCTACAGTATGCTGGTTATGATGTCGGATCACTTAATCTCTCTAAATTTCAGCGGAGTCACTTTAGCACATTACAAAATAAATACCTAGATCTGTGCTTATCAAAATCATCTGAAAAGCTTATTTTTAACCGTTTAGCAAGAGCAGAATCAGATAGAGGTCAGATACTGCCAAAGATCACTTCTCTGACTCACAAAAACTATAATTCATTAATGAATGTATTTAAAAACACTTTCAGTGACAGTACTCACACTTCCACACATTTTTCATGTTTACAAAAGATTTTGGGGTGAAATAAATAGGGGAGGAATGCAATGGGGAAATACCAAATACATAAAAAAATACCAACTTAAAAAAACATGACAGAGCCTGCAATGTATTTTACAGACTTCTACTGTAGACAGTTTTTTAAGCGTGCCATTTATTCTTTTGTCCTGGACTTGTCCAGTTTCCTCAAATCTTTTAAGAATATGCTGCACACCACGCAGAAATATGCCAAGTTTGAATCTTGTAATACAGTTTTATGCCTGTCAAATTGTGGTATTTTGGCTTTTTGTTTTGGTAGATTTAGCTGAAGAAATTGCAACAAATCATGTTTTTCTGACAGGCCGGTAGTAACAAAAGTTACAATTTAAAACTGGATCTTCACAAAGTCTGTTCTGTGTAGACACAACACTGATTCATCCCTTGAGTTAGATGCCTTTTAATGCTAGAATGAGTCAAACAAAAAAAACATTCCCCTGAAAGGACGGGAATGAAAATGAATGAAAAAAGACCTTTAGAAAGCGGAGAACTACTGCTCAAGACCACTTTAAACATCTGGGTCCTTGGAAGCAAAATATAATGCTGAGGTCTACAGTTTAGTGCCGAGCAGTTAGTGTGAGGGTTTACAGCAGTTACACAGGACGTATTACTCAGCATACAAAAACTGTATCTGAACTGATTTCTGTTTCTGACAAAAAGCTTTTAAGAGAAAATTACTACGCAAAACAGAAGAAAAGTTTTGAACAGAAACATGCTGATACTAAGTGCTATTTTTACATAGTTTGCTTTCATGTTTCTTTACTAAAAGTAGCAAATAACTTTGACCACCTAAGTAGCAAGCTTAAGTGTAAGTTTTGATAAATTTGATAAACGCATACCCTTAGAAAGGGCGCACTCAATATCTCAACGCCACGCAGATGAACACAAAATAACATTTGTGCTCATACTCACAGCTACATCACACAGTTTATACTCTTGATTTTTGGTGCTTTATTTTGCATAAACCCTTAAAAATCTCACAGCAACCCGAAACAAAAATAGCTCGCTCCTTTGAACATTAGTATGCTAATGCTTTAAATAGGCAAATTAATCACAGCGCGTGATTTGAATAACCTTCCAGTATGCAAATGAATTGCTTGTAAACTAGGAATGATTAAATGTTGAATCAAACCCACGCAGATTAGGCCATGTGGGTTAAAAAAATGTCGCTTCTAGGCTGCAGGGGAACTCGGATAACAGTAGCTATCTAAAGATAGGGTGCCGTGTTGTCTGGCTGACCACACCGGGACTCCTTGTGTGCATGTTTCAAGATTGTAGCTCAAGGCAGGTATTAAAAAAAGCTCTCCACACAGAGAGATTAAAACCTGGGCTGGAAGGGGACTAACAGAGAAGGGCAGACATGGGGGAGCGACAAGGGGTGACCACCAAGGCCAGTTGTTGATGAATAAGCCTCACAGAGAGGGGGGTTAACAGATAAGTGAGCATCATGCTGACGCAGAAGCCACAGGAGTGAGTGACGCATTGGAGTTTTACTGCCCGCAGTGTCATACAAATAAATGTCCCCTTCCAGGCTCAATTCATGCTGCGCTGAAACTTTACTGGGTAAATAATCTGCTGTAATATTTCACGTTCATTTCCCCTGGCTGGCTCAGGATGCACGCTTATATAGCTTTATTTTTGAGCCCATAGGTAGCTGTTGGTGGCTGATTTATCTTTCAGTCAGGAACAGAGTTATGTTCACTAATTTTAGAACCTCCTGCAGCTCGGTGTGATTTTTGTTGATTACTCCTGGAGCAAAAAAACAGAACAGAAAAGAAAAATCTTCAAGAGTTTGGGGCTTTTCAAAGTTATAAAACAAGTTTTGATGTGAAAACAACGCACAATACCAAAGCACAGAAAGCCAGGGTTAAGTGAAGAGAAAGAAACATTCGTATGGTCACAAACCGTGTCTTTAGAGTGGCCCGTTAGGAAGAAATAGGGGGAGCCATGCGTGTCACTTTTCATGCACATGGAGAGACTGGAAGATACCATTCCTATAGAAGGGGAAGTAACAACCTAGACCAATCAATTAGTGATAGATCACTGAAATGGACAGAAGATAAACTAGTGTTAGTTAAGACAGAAGAGACAATTAGTTTACAGCAACAGTGAAATACAGAACTAAGAGATTAAATACAAAAGGATGACGGCTACAGAGGCAGAAGATACAATATGAATAAAAATGCATGTCAGATTAATATTACTAAGAGTCGATGTGATACTAGATTAACAGTGAAAAAAATACTACGTGTTAAGAAAGAAATGATCTGAGAGACAAATAATTTAAAGTCTAGAACCTTACCGTACTCTGGGACCTGCCCTGTACCTCTCTTTAGGAGGAGACGAACCCGCCTGCCCCCAGACTTGATGAGCTCGATAGCCCTAGCATGGGTCATGTCCCGAGTGCTCTCTCCATTGATCTCAATGATCTGGTCCCCAACCTGCATGTCAGGAGGTTTGCAAAGAAAACAAAGAAAGAAGCTGAGAAGTCTGTTTGTACTTTCCTTGCAAGGTCAAATCAATAAGACATTTTAGTTATAACAATATGCTTACAGCTTTTGGTCACATGCTAAATCTAAACCAAAGCTAAGCAAAATCTTTCTGGATTGTAGACTGGGGTTTATTTGCTTTAGACTAAACGTATGGATGGTTTTTAAATAGTGCTTTTAGGCATTTTTGCCTTTATTTGATTAGTGACAATTTAGGGATACATCAGTGATGTGTCATGTGTGTAACTGTAAGCCACCAAAAAGCAAGTCTGATATATAGCCCTATTTTCCTACTTTTGTGGTTGCTTGGTCTCTTGTTATTAAATTGTTTGCATCATCTTTGCTGTGCAACAGACCAGAACATTCATACACAGCATTTATCTTCCATCCTTGCTTTCAGATCATGCCCTTTTTTGTCATTTAATTTTTCTTCATGACATACACTCGGAAATGACTCTTCAACATCAATAAACATGAAGCAGTAATTTAGAGTAAAATGCAACTGAAACATATAAAATCAAAGGCATTCATTGAAATGATTTGTCATTGAAAAATGTGCTTTGTATAAACTAAATGTATATCAGCGAAGTAAATCTGATTTGATCAGATTCCATTAAATTAAACATTTTGCATTGTACCAATGTAACAAAATTACATAGAACATTAAATTAGTTACAGTCATCAAACAATGTAGTGGTAGGCTTGAAGACATAGGCCTCACAAAGGTAACAACTACACCTATAATATAATTGAATAAATCAAACGCAGTCTAGAAACTGTCAACCTGCTTCTGTTTGAAAGAAAGAAGAAGTATTTTTTCAGCCATGAACTTAGGGCAGCTTTGTTCTGTGATCGATAAATACTTTGCTGGCTGTATTCAGAACAGCCAAATACAGCAACCACTGGAACAAGTCTGAAGCTGTGTGCATCGATTAGACGGAGTATCAATAAAGCTCAATGACCACTGAAGGGAAAACCAAACTGCCCTCAATCAATCCAAAACAAAGCAGTAAGAATGGAGCAGATAAATCTAAATGATTAGATGACCCTTGCTATTTGTATGAAATGTTTCCTTGTGAGTTTATAAGGATCAATACAGATTTACAATCACTGGCCCCTTTATTAGTTACGCCTTAATAGTACTGGATTGGATTTCTGAACTTTTGCCTTCAGAGCTGTTTTAAGGTATTGGAAACATTCTCCACAGATTTTGATCCTTATTAAGACTTTCCCGTTCCACTACATCCAAAGGTGCTATAGTCGCTTGAGATCTGGTGCCTGGGGAGGCCATTTGAGTACAGTTTCATATTCAAGCAACCAGTTTGAGATGATTTGAGCTTTGTGACATGGTGTGTCATCTGGTTACTGCTGGGGACACTGTGGTTATTACACCACCAGCAGCAGCAGCAGCAGCAGGAGCTAGAACCAAGACTTGTTTTGATCATGTCTATATAACTACATGCATTGGGCTGCTGCTATCTGATTGGTTGTTTAGATATATGTGTTAATGAGGTGTTAATGAGCAGTTGAAGAGGAATACATAATACACTGGTTGTTAAGTGTATAAAATAATCATAACAGCAGCAGCTCAGCTAAAACCTAAAGTTAATATTCCCAGGCCTATCCCTTCTTTATGTGACCACTCCTTGGTGTATGTGAGGATGGCTCAAATATGAAACACTTCAAAGCCCTTCATGTGAGGGCCCTGAGGTTCACTAATGGGAGAAATCATGAGGAACAGGACAAAACATGCTGAGCCAATTACACTAACAAATGGAGAAGTCTCCCAGTAATGGTAGGAGGGTAATTTTAAAGTTAGGAGTGGACTAGAGTCAAGAGAGGGGGAGTCATTACGTGTCATTACAGTGGTCTGAAGAGGTGGAAGCCAAGACTGTTCTCATTAAACCTCAGCCCCTAACAGCAGCAGAGCGTGATCTCCATTTTCATCTTTAATAAAGAGGGAAAGAAAGCTGAATGGACAGCACGTGAGCTCAAAAAGCAGGAGATGGGAGCGAAGCTCGGAGAAGTAATTAAATGTGCTGAATGATTATCGGTAAAAATCAATCACTTCATACAATTTTCTTAACAGCATCTACAGTGACATTTAACCTAAAAAAAACAAACCTGTTAGAAATTGTAAGCGCTCCTTGTTGCTGATTATTTTGTTCGCAAGAGGGTTTTTTTTCCTCCTTTTTAAGAGCCTGTTGAGTAGAAACTACTTGGCTCAAACTCAAAATGTCAGAGTGACTGCAGGGAGTCACAGAGCATGTGGGCTTTTTGGTTTCCACACCTGAGTATGTTAAAGCGCTACTCAAATCCACAGTGACAGCCATGCTTTTTAACTACTGTCTCGCATTTGCTTAAGTTAAATGCAGATTGATTCCTCGCCGCATGCAGCGGTGTGGATACGTGGATTGCTGGAGGAGGGATCACACGGCTTACACTGTTTGATCAATCAACGGTGACAAATATGAAGCGCATACATGCGTCTACTTAAGTAAAATCCTGGGGCATTGGCTTTATTTACTTATTTTACATGTCATTAGGACACAAAATAAAACTTTACAGTTCAAAATTAACCCGAGAGGGTGACCGCATAGGTGCCCTCTCGGGTTTGTAAAACTTCTGTTTTGTACATTTTATATTTTGCTTTATTTGGTAACAACTGAAACTAACCAGTTTATTATGTACACCTGTTCAACTGCGTTTTAACCGAAATATCGAATCAGCCAATCACATGGCACCGACTCAGTGTACTGAGGTATGCAGACACGATCAAGGCAACCTGCTTGAATGGTCATCAAAATGGGCAAGAAAGGGGATTTAAATGACTTTGAACATGGCATTGTTTTTGTTTTGAGTATTTGATAAACACATTTAATTGTGCAAAGCGTGGCTCCAGTTAGAGTCAAAAAAATCAATCAAACCAGGGTTTGCTGTAGGGCGCGCCTACCTTCTCACTGACACAGTTATTCATGTGAACTTGTCCTTTTTTTTTGTTTGTCAGATCCACACGTCACTCGTCCACATCTACTTCAAAATGCTCAACTTGAGGCTTCAACAAAGCACTCTAAACTAATGTGTTAGTTACTTCCATGTTTAATGAGAACTGAATGCAGCTCTTTCCAACTTAAAATGTAACTTACTGTAGTAGACTGCTACATCAGTTAATTGGTACAACATGAAACCTGTCATTGGAGTTTTTTTATGTCCAGAAACTTTACTGGTAATCAGTTTGACTTTTTCTTTCTCACTTTCTTTGTTTAATACTAAATACTTAAAAAGAAACTATCACTACTTCACAGCAGTTTGTTTACTGATTTTAAGTAGAGCTCCACAAGTATTCCTGCTTCCTTTTCCACGTCCGTCTGGAGCCACTGGACTACAACGATTACAACACAGAAAAGGAAAAGTAATATCTCCCTCAGGGGCATTTTACACCATTATCTTTGACAGGTTCATTACAGATAAGCACTGTAGTGCATACTGAGGCTAACAGCCGCAGATGTAAGAATCGGAGGACATGCAAGAAAAAGAAAACAGGACTGAGGGAAACGCCAAAGACAGAAAAGCTGCTGGGGAAGTGGAAGGGTTTTATTTTCATTTCCACTGGATTTATTGTTATTACATATATATATGTAATTCAGAAAATGTGTGTGCTGCTTTGTTTTTTTAGCTAAAAGGATAACTGTGTAGCTGTGGAGACCATCAAACACATGACATCATGATGGCCCCATTAAATGATTAAATCTGTCTTTAACCTGCTGAATATCACCTGATGCTAAACAAAAGGAAGAAGTTAAGTTTTGGGAATTTGGGAGGAGACAAACTTGCGATCAGCATCAGAAGGACAAACCATCTCATACATAAGTTATTTTGACAGATTATTTCTTAGCTGGCACAAAAAAAAAGTTGCAGTTGCAGCGTTGATAACATCAGACAATTACAGACAACACCGTGTAATGCAGCAAAGATTGAAAGCAGCTTAACTTTTAACGATGGGGTAATCGCTTTCTTAAAGGAAATGATGTCATCAAACCCTACCCTCATCCTCCCGTTGCGAATGGCCGGCCCGTCCTCTGCGAGTCGTAGGACAAAGAGGTCCATTTTGTACTCCCGCCCTCCACGGATGCTAAAACCGAAGCCCTTCACGCTCTTCTCCAGCTCCACTGTGAAGAAGTCGAAGTCCTGTGTAAGCTGAGACAAGCAGAGATCACGCATGATCAGATGCAGTCGTACTCGAGCACAAAACAGACTATGACTGCAGAAAATTGTCTCCAATAATAGTTTTTTTGAAGGAGAACGGAGCAAAAGCAATGGGGGAGGTGCTAATAAGACCAAAACTTTAGCTTCAATACATGAGGTTTTGAGAAATAACACGGCATTTACTTTGACAGACAAAACCAGCTTTAAATAGAAAAACAAAGGGTTTATACAAAAACTCAAAATATCTAGAAACAAGCTTAGAATATAATAGAAAAACAATCTCTCTGGAAATATATTTTACTACATTATTGTACAAGAGACTGTGCAATGAAAAATATGTTTGAGGTAATTCAGTGCCACGTAACAGCTTTTTCACCATGTGAGCCCTAAAACATTATTTTAGACCCTGAATTTGTAACTTTAAAATGTTCCTCTCAGCATGTCCCTGATCACCAACCAAATTTAGAAGTATTTATACATTTATTGGCCACTGGCAGCTGAGCTGTGAACACAAGGTTGATATACAGCTCAAATTTTAAGTTTACTTGTTAGGAAGTAGTTTCTTATTTACACATCCAAAATATCATTGGTGAAATATTGGCAATTTTTTGTCATATTTATGGCCACCATACAACTTTAAGTCCATTTATCGCTCTCCTTTAACCTGCTCAGTAAGGAGAAGGAAGGTTTCTTTACACCTGCAATAATTTATAAGTGGTGGTACAGCTCTGTGCTGGGAGCCCGTTTCCCTTCTATGGAGGAGTTTGTATTAGTGCAAACAGCAGCAGGAAGACAGTCCATACATAACGGAGCACAGAGAACAGATATGCAGCATGAAAAGTAGGAGCTGTGTTGTAAGTGTGCCGCAAAATGACTTGGCATCTGTAGGCAGGCCTAAGATTTGTCAGTTGGATGTGTACAGGGGTACCAGCTGAGCCATTAGCTCCTGTAAGCTGGCACTGAGCTCAGCTGTCATCAGCTGATCATGCAGGATTGCAGGCTGAGCTCAACTTTGTGACCTGCCTGAACGAACGCTGTGCTCAATTTTAGGTTTTCACCAACTCATGTCTGGCTCTTAATTGGATTTGTGCACAGATAGCAGAGATAAAATTGAAAGAAAAAGAGTTAACAGATACTAAAAAGGCTCCGTAGAGCTGTAGGGGACTGATATGATATGATTATGTCCTAGATTTCAAATATCAATGTTCATATTGACAATCCTGTATGATTTGACCTTCAGAAAAGAGTCTGTTGAAGGATGAGTCACTCTTATCCTCAAGGCAAAGTCCTTCCTTACTTGAACTGGTGGCATTCGGTACTCTGGGATGGCAAATTGTCTAGCATCTGTGGCTAGCTGTCGATAGTCCAGCAGAGGCGGGTGTCTGTAATCCAACGTGGGCGGCTGCCGGTAGTCTGCCACGGGAGGGTGCCGGTAGTCCACCGGCGGCTGTCGGTAGTCTGTGAATGGTGGCTGTCGGATGTCTGGTTTAACATCTTGCCTCGCCTTCACCTCAGACCTGTAACTAACAGACCAATGAGAATGAAGGAGGAACTTCCAGGGAGGATTCCTACAGCTGTCATCACCACCTTTGGACATGGAAGATTACTCGTGTTATCTTTCAGCGTGCTTAGCAAACAAAAGAAACCCCATCTCTAACAAACTGCTGGGTCATCCGGCGCTGACAGAAATGGCTTGTTTTTAGTTTTGAAATGACAACCATTAAACACAACTTAAGTGAGGAAATTAAACATCACATAAAATGTTTATAATAAAAACAAACTCTCTCTCACGCTGATGAGTGCAAAGATATCTGAATACTGTGTAAAGCAGAGGGAAAGGAAATGAGGCTGTAAATTTTGGGACCCCTGTAGTTCTTGGTAAAATATTCAACAGATCTCGATAAAGAAGCAATTTATGTAAATAATTTAGCACTCCATAAGAGTTAAGTGATGTTATACAACAAAATAGTGAGCGAGCGTGAGAGATGAACAAAGAGAAGGGACAATAAGAGAGACAAAGATGAAGCTGGAAAAAGAAACTGAAAAGGGGAGAAGAGAGAGGCTCGAGCGCAAGGTGAAGAGAAAGAGAAAGGAGATATCTGACTCGCTCAGGGTACCTTTATTCCCAGAGGAACGGTGTTTCACCCCAGTGGCAGATAAAGAGCTAGTCTATAAAAAATGCTTCACTGCGTCATAAAAAAAAAAAATCAAGGCAGCTGCTTGTAAACCGACTCTTACCTGCTCTCGTGGGTGTAGGTCTGAGGTGTCGGGGCAGGAAGCTGAGTCACAGGGCTCTGGTGGGGCATGGGGTTGGGCTGGCTGGCAGAGGGGCTCGGTTCTGTCACTGCTTGGTTAGACAGGGAGGCTGCAGTGTTTAGCTGGGCCTTAGGGCTGTGCTGGTGAGCCATGGGGCTCTGCTTCTCCGAGCTGGGGGCTGATGGAGGATTGCTCACCTCTGAAAAACAGAATGTGATGTAAGAAAATCAAACCATAAGGTATCAGCTAAGGCTGTCTTGTCACTATAACTTGATTGTCTTGGCCACTTGAGGGCAGCACAGCAAACCTATTGTCCTCTGATAAAGTTGATCTGCTGGAGTAACGGCGCTATTTATTTCTTTTCAACTGCTAAATCTGAGCGGAAAAGGAGATTCCTGTTTAGGTTTTCACCACATGCCTAAGGGCATATTTGAGTCTTCACTTTATTTACTATGACAGAAATGAAACAATGGCCTGAAAAAAAATCAAGCGGCCGATTAAAGCTGGGTGGTGGTGAAAGTGTTCTTGATTTGAATAATTCTTAATAAAAAATATTGATATGTAGACCTTTATTTTCTATTTTAAATAAAACACAACTACTGCCAGGGTTGGCAATTTCTATGGCTACACAATATCCTCAGCTGCTTCTTGCTGTGATTGGCCAGCAGTGGAGAAGTACAATGGGTTTAAATCTATCTAGCAACACAACTGCAGCTTTATCAAAGTCTATTGTGTAATCATTTGGTGAAAGTGTGTGTTTTTTTCAGGTTTTGATCATCAGTGAGTCTCGCTTACTCCTCATTGTAATGTGCATCCCTTATTGGGCCCACTAACAGTGGTCAAAAATCTACAGGTATTTCAAACTAATGGGAATACAAATGTCAGTGGAATATCAGTGGGAAGTGATGCAAAAAGAAAATCCTTTCTCGGCAGCCTTGGTTGCTGTGATTCAAGTTTATTGTGAGTAGTTAAGAGTCTCTTGTTGAATTGAAATCTTTCTCAAAAGCAACAAATGAAAAGAATCACTTGGTAAATGGGAGAAGGGAACACATTTCTCAGTGACACAGCCGGAGTGTGTTCTGTATTAGTGTTATTGTTAGAGACGTGCACTTCTGTTCCAAGCATCTGCATGCAGAGGTGTCATAAAAACAGAGTATGACTGGCTTGTGAATGTGACACAAGGCTTTGCAGCTTTCATTTAACAAAGCTAATTCAATATCTGTCATGAATCACCGTCAGCAGGTGTTTTGTGTGCGTGTGTGTCCATGTCTCACCTTCCTGTGGTATGATCCTCAGGGTGACACTAAGGCCTGCATCTTTGATCAGCTTAACGATGTCAGCGTGCGGCATGTTGACGATGGACTGGTTGTTCACCGCCAGTATCCTGTCTCCCACCTTCAGCTTCCCGCAGCGGTCTGCCGGGCTGCCCTCGATGATGCGGCCAATTTTGTGGGGCACAGCTGTTGGAGCATTCACACACGCAACAGCGGGTAAAGACGCGCTCGGCAGCAGATTGGAGGATTACGCTAGTCTGTGCTCACACACCACTCACTGCCTGACTGACTGAACGTGTCTCTGCCTCTCTCATTTTGCTATTCACCTCAGGCTTACGTAAGGCATCCAGTTTTTCTTCATGTGTGTGTGGGCGATGCACTGATGCTCAGAGCAGTGCGCCAGATATGTGTGTGACTGACGTGCTGTGGGAGGGCATGTATAATTGAGGAGCTAGAATGAGAGGCGCTTCACTTTTTACCAAGCCGTGACCTTGCCTACCCTAACCAATAAGTTTTCTTCACACTATAAAGAGACTACCTGATTATTGACAAGCATCTATGAGCTTTGCCACAATGTTTAGCACTCGAAGCAGTTGTTATGCTAAGCAGAGAATGACTGATGATGCTTAAGCACCTACTTGACTCTTTAATAATCACTGGACTCACTGTTAGTTGTGGCCGCCTCAGGCCGGTTGAGCGAGCTGATGATGACGAAACCGAAGCCCTCGCTCTCCTTTCGGCTGATTATGACATCGCTTGGTTGTGTGTTCGAGATCCCGTCTGAAGTAGCACCGGTGTTGCCCATGCCAGCGTTGGGAGCCTGGGGTGTGCTGGTGCTGTTGCCATACGTGAAGTCACTACGTGGGGAGCTGTGCTGCGTGGAGACAGAACCTGGGCTGCGGCCGTTTTCTGGACAAGACTCGCCTGTAGGGCGACGCAGAGAGGAATCAGAACAGAGGTATGTAGCTGAGTTTGAGAACCCTTCCCAAATGTGCAGATTAATGTCAAAGGCATAAAATTGTATGTTTGCACCAACAAGGTGAATCTTAAAGAGCTGTTAGCCCTAAACCTGACATATCTCAGCTTGGTGTGAAGTGAATTCTTAAAGGTTGAGTGAACTGCACAATTGGAGGACAAAAGAAAAAAAACTATCTAAAGCAGATGAAAAGGATCTGCAAGTCACCTCCTGAACAAAGAAGAAAAACCTGTTAGGAAATCTTTGTCAAAATTGATGAAATTACGAACAACGAAAAGTATTGTCAGCTTTAAACCATCTGGAAAGCATCTAATTGGCAACGACTTAATTTTTCAGTATAATACTGATCCCAAACACACTGCCAATGCAGTAATAGTATACCTGGATAGAAAAAAACCACAGGTGAAACTATCAGTCATGCACAGACCTCTACGGAGACCTAAGAGGACGCAGTGTCGGATCATCTTGACAGAGAACAGAACAAAGTAAAGACAACATCCAAAGAAGAGCTTTGGATGTCCTTCAAGAAGCCTGGAGAACTATTCCTGAAGTCTACTTAAAGGAATTCCAAGAAGGCTTACAGGAGGTGCTGAAGAATAAAGGTGGTCATATCTTTATTTCAAACATGACTTTCAAAGCTCATTATAATTATAAAAATGTAAATGCTTATTTAAGATATTTTAAGACATCGGAGACCTTAAGGAGCCTAATGGGAGAGGAAAGGACTTACAAACCCTATTAACACTTACAATGTATACATTAATGATCCAGATGAAGGCCACAAGCTAAAACATATCAAAAATACATCATTGCTTCATAATACAAAAGTGCACAATGAGCATTTTCCTGTTGCAGCCAGCTGAGATGGAGTTTTTTTCAGGACCCTCTCTACAACGGCAACCCTGCTGTGTCGCAGCATTCAAATAAGGCAGCTTTTTTCGTGTGTGGATTTTTTTATTTTTTTTGATGATGTAACCCTCTAGCCCTCACATTGCTATTTTAAGTAAACCATCAGAAAAGTGTAGCAGTTAGCAGCTTACAATTTAGACTTCTGAAACACAGTAAGAACAAAAATAATTTTTTTCTTCAGTAATTTGATCCTTAACAATTTGCTGCATTTAATAAGATCGTGAAATCCTTTATTTGCAGGTGACTCCAGGTGTCAAATTATTGTGGTGCGCTGAATAATACAATATTAAGTTCTTAAATGAATTAAAGTACCTTTAAACTCTTGTTACCTTCTATCAGTGCAGTTCATGCTCGCTACTACTGCTCTTGAGAACGGCATCTCATCCCAAAAATGATGTTACAAACAGCTGGTGCACCTTACAGGTTTTGTAACCAGGTGTGCGCATAGCAACAAGGCTGGAGGCATGAGCGATCTCTACATATATTTCCATGAGATGCTGTTGGAGGATCATAGAAATCCCCAGGTGGATTCCAGGGAGCTCCTGGAACAGTTTAATTCTTTGTTTCCTGCTTCTTTAATTCTTCTACTCACAATCCAGTGATAAAGCAGTGTTGTGACACTTTGAAGTAGTGTCACTGTTACATTTTTCCATGTACAATACAGAAATGTCCATCTCTATATTGCTTTTGCACTATACTAGAGTAGCTTTGCTTGATTCACAGGATCCCCCAACTTTAATATGATCATCCACAGTTTTGAAATGTTCAAGTGACATAAAATAAGTGAAAGCATAAAAGTCCCCTTCAAAGAAGCTAAAGATTCCTAACTAGAAAAAAATATCAGCAGGATACAGAGTTACTTTCATAGAATCCAAAGATCATTTTGCATGTGGAAAATCTACACAGTTTTGCCAGCAAAGTGTTTTTCATCTTCCCCCCTAAGCTGGAACTAGACCTCATCCCTGTGAAGAATCAAGAAGCGAACATAGGACAGCAATTCAAAACACATCATTAAAACGCTGCCTTATGTCAATCTGACCACAGCTAAAGTAGCTTCTAGCACCTCTAGCATACACTGACAAAAGTGTGCATATGCACTCTGGCACACTGACTGATCGAACCCAGTGTTGTTTTCATAGTTCACTAGTAAGTGGGGCTGCGCTCTTCTGTAGTTAAACAGTTCAGGATTTAAACTGTAAATGTGAGGCTATGACAAGCTTTGTTATCATTAAAAGGTTTGAGCCCACATTTAGTATTTCTTTACCCAATGAGTGCACAAATTATTATCACATGAGGAGGAAAATAGTGAAAAAAGCCAATGATTTGTGCAAAATGTGGGTTACTGGGTGCGGGCTAAAGTGTGAGCTCGGAGCAGAGAGAGTCTGATACTTCGTAAAGTGCGAGTGGGAGTCAGACAATTAGGATGGAAGTAAGGGCCACACAAGAGGCCAGGCATGAGTCAGACTGTAGCCTTTGGTGGAGAAGAAATTGACAGACAGGGCGGACTAGAGTGGGAAGAATTTGATTGGTGAGAGGAACATGTGCATGTGTGTGGTGGAGGGCGTAATAACGAGAACAGGACAGGCTGTAGTTCAGAGGAAGAAGCGCCAGCTCAGTCTCCACGGTAAAGAAACTCAAGTAAGGAAAGGGAGCGAGAAATGTGTGTGCGTGAGAGCGAAGGTGTGCTAATGTGTTTTTCAGAGAGGCTTCAGCATAATTACTCAGAGATTAGTGGTTCGGTTTTCTGACTAATTAAACCTGAATCATTACAGGACATGAATGAGACCAGGAGAGGTAATAGAGGAGGACGAGAACAGACAGAGGAGAGGCACGCTGCACACTTTTATAATCCAGAGCAGTACATTTATGCTGTGTTAAACAGTGGATTAAAACAATCTATAAAGAAGGAATCCCAGATTGATGACTCTGCTGTTTCCTCACCTGCCGCCTGAACCCTCCTCCTGATAACCAGATTCACCTGGCCGGTACGTGCTGCCCCGTGCATCAGGTCAATGACATATCTGTGTGGCTTCCCCACCACTGGGATTCCATCAACAAACAGCAGCTCATCGCCGGGCCGCAGGCGCCCATCTAGATCCGCTGGACTCTTCTCGATGATCGCCCCGATGAGAATCTGTTTTTAAACGCAGGCTGTCAGAAAGATTTCGGACTCATAAGCCCCGAGACTCCGGAGTGTAGACTGTGTGGGTCACATGCAAGTGGGTGTTAAGTGGTTGTTATACTGACACATTAATAACTCAGTTACATGGCTAAAATATTGTTGTGTTACAGTAAAAAAACAGCAATAAACACCAAAGCAGCCACAGCCAGCACTCTCTCAGGGGGCAAAGGTCAGGTTAGGTGTTCACAGTGTGTGTAGTGGGTTAAGAGAGGAGAAAATGACAGGGTTCCACGCCCACTGCCATACGAGCCTTCTCACGCGTCTCCGGACTCACAGGCTGCCCCGCCTCATCCCCGCCCAGCACCCGGAAACCGAACCCGGACTTCTGTCGGCGCAGGTGGACCTCGATGTCCTGGTACTCTCCTCCTGAGGCAAAACAAGAGGAAAATAATTAAAGTCCTGGCCTGACAGTGTGTGGAGCTCCAGCGTCGCTGTAAGGAGTATGTGTTTACCTGAAGAGTCCAGAGGGAAAACAGTCCTTGGCTGCCCAGGATCTAGATTAAAAGATGAAGACAAAGGACAGGATGTCCCTGTAAACAATGCAAAATGCACAAAAAAATGCTCATACACATCCAAAGAGTACACCAGTAAACACAGACGCTCCCATAAAGGCTAGAAACAAGGCAGAAAGGCCCTGCCTCAGCATTATGTCAGTGCAGAATTTCAGCATCATCCATAAAAGTCGGGAAGTGCTTACAGCGTGTAATATACCCATCCCTTATTTACAGCGTGAGGTGGGGTGCAAGCACTGATCTGCAATCAGGAGCTTTGCACGACGCCATGATGTGCAAAAGTAGTGAAATGAACTCAACCACAGACAAGTGGCTGTGAATGAAAAATTGATTCCAGTTGTAAGTGTTTTAATCATAGTGAGCGCTCTGCTGCGACTCCACAGGAATGATGAGAAAAAGAATCAGGACTACAGGTGAGCAGAGCGAGGCAGCTATTACCACAAATATACAGTTCTGTTTATAGAGAAGTGGTGGATTTCTTCAGTATGTCTATATTTTTTCTTTATATTTTAAGAACAATCAAAATTACAAAGTCAATTTCTACACTCAAAAACATCAAATTCAGGAAATAGGTTCAAGTATATCTGTATTTTTGGGGGTAGTTTATAATATTAGCTCACTGTTAGCTTGAATTAATTAATGGAGTAAACCCGAAAAAGTCGAACAGGTTGGCTGACTAGATAGCATGAACAAATAAACAATGCTGTTAACAAAACTTTACATCGAAATGCACTTACTGGCCACTTTATAAGGAGTACACCTGTTCCTCTGGACTTGAATAACTTTGCAAATATCTAATCAGCCAATCACATGGCAGCCACTCAATACATGTTGGCATGTAGACGTGGAGAATCTACAACATGTGAACCTTTAAGCAGATGGGTTACAGCAGCAGAAGACCGTACCTGGTGCCACTTGTAGCTTCAGACGCTGAGGCTACATTTCACACGGGCTCACCAAAACTTGACAATAGAAGATTGGAAAAATGCTGCCTGGTCTGATCAGTCCCGATTTCTGCTGCAGCATTCAGACGTTGGGGTCAAAATTTAGCGTAAAACTCAGACTGCTGCTGCTGGTGGTGTAATGATGTGGAGGATAATTTCTTTGTACCTTTTCAGTCCCTTTGTACCCACTGACCATTAGTGAAACCCGGCAGCCTACCTGAGTACTGCTGCTGACCATGTTCATCCCTTTATGACCATAATGTACCCATCTCCTGATTTCTGCTTCCAGGCATGCCTCCAAGTTCAAATCATCTCAAATTGGTTTCTTGAGCAATTGGACCCCACAGTCACCAGATCTATTTCTCCAACAATCTACAATCATGCAACTTCAGGATATAGTGTAACAGAAGATTCTCATCATGGATGTGCAGCCAACAATATAATGGAAAAAAATAAAGAAAAGGTCGAAACTGTACACACAAAACTCGAAAGTGGTGAAATTGGTCACCAGCTATTAAACTGAGCAGTAGTGACGTATGGCTAAAATAACACGCTAACAGGTAAGGACATCTGGATCAGATAACTATCTACAATTGAAAATTATGCCAAAAGTGTTTAGATGCAGTTTAAAATAAGCTCAGTTTAACAGATTTAAAGATCAAGAATGTTGTGAACAGGTTTTTAGAGTCCGTCTGACAGGGCTGCAGTAGTAGATGTAGTCAGATGAAAAAAGGTTGGGAGCACTGGTCTAAACAATCTTCGAACAATCTTCTTCAAAGATACAAACACACGCACACAAAATCTCGAGTGGTTTCAAGCAATGCAGCCTGCTTGGGATTTATTCACTCAGGATCTCACATGTCCGTCTTTGAAGGGTCTTTGACTTTAATGCGTATGAAACTGTCAAATTATATTTAAGAAAACACAACAAACAGGAACACCTGCTTTTCCCTGTCACACTGAATAACCCACAAAACCTACTGTGACCATTTTTAATACAGGCTCATAAAGCTGAGAATGTATGCTAAAGAGTTTGAAATACCTGATCCTATACCTCAGTCTGTTTATGTAATCGCTGACATTAATTTATTAAGGGTCAGAGAAGACTGAACTTAACCACAGCTGACGGAGTCTGGGCTGGCCTGAGGTTGTGATGCTAAATAAAAGGTCACACCCAGCTTTACCTACACCAGTGAGGCGGTCAAATGGAGCACTGCTAAAATCTGTCTGTGTGTTTTTCCTACTGAGCATTACCAGGCACAACCCCTGACCTTTACTGAGAGGAAGGCAGCAGTGATCACGGCATCCGCCACAGAAGAGGAGGAAGCGACAGTGAGCGAAACAGGAAGATTTGATGAGAAGACTTTCTGACAGCCGTGTCCTCTTGAATAGCAGGTACCTCATATACAGCAGCCTTAACAATAAAAACTTTACTGTAACTTTACTATAGCAATATCCTCCAATAAACCAGAGGAAAGATACTGTCAAGCCATGAATCCATGAGACCTGTTATCAGTTATATGCAAGGCAGATGTTAACCTCTAAAGAGAATCAGTGAAGAAACTGGCTTACACACCACTGTGAGAGTGGAAAAGCCAACTCAACATAATCCGTATTTCACTATGTTTCCCAGAAACACATTTTACTTTCAAGTAGGAAAGAATGTGAAATGATGATGTGAAATAATGTGAAAGAAACACAATAATATTTAGTGTAAATGTCTCGTTACAGAATTTAAGAAAACTAATTCTAGTACCTGTGTGCTATGATAATATAGATCTGTGATGTTACTAAAATCCTTATTCTGCAAATACAAATGTGCATAAAAAGCATGTCCTACTTTCTACTGATTAAAATGCTCAATTGAGCAAAAGAATGATGTATGCACAATCGCAATAATATGTAGAATTTTATAATTTTACAAGTCACAGGATGGAAATATAACTGTGCAGAAGCACCTGTCTGATTATTCAGGGACACTTCTCAGTTTACAATGATCAGTATTTCTAGTTATCTACACAGCTTCTGATTTTTATTTTATACTCGTGGTTATTGTGTGGAAAGTTCAGACACAGATCTTCAGCTCTGAAGAAAGAGGTCAGCAAATTTCAGAAGACTTTTTCAGATTTCTGTGGAGCAACAAAAGTGACAATGAATCAATTCTGTGATTGAGAGAAAGAGTGATCGCTCTTCACTCCTCTGCCTTCCCTCGTAGAAGCTGGCCTGCTTGATTTCTAGAAAGGAGTGTGTTTTCACAGCACTTCACCTGCAGTATCAACGCTGGTACTTACGCCTACTCTCAAAGATAGCCCTGGACTTCTCATAAAGGTCATATGGGTCTGGCTTTGCCAGGGCCAAGGCCTCGGAGGCAGACTCAGGGACCGAGGCCCTGTGAAGATGGTGTGTTGGGAAGGGGGCGCTGTGGGGGATAACAGGAGCCGACAGGCTGGTCTGAGCAGGGCTGCTCTGGCCCTGCTGGGACTCCCACTGCTCCAGCACCTGCAAAGCACAGCGGCATGAGCGGTCAGTATTTCCCTTCCTGCTCTCCCACTCCTGATGCTTGATTTCATCCTCAAAATCACAGTAAGAACCGTAAACTCCTAGGCACGGTTTCGTTTAAGGAGCTGTGACAGTTCACTAAACCCTGCCGCGCCCATTTATGGCTGCTACACCCGTCAAGCTTTGCCTGCTCGGACATATTTACAACTTAATAATGCATGTCTATTTTCAGAGAAAAGTAAGGAAAACTACTCATTTCTAACAAAAAAAATTATGCTTTCGACTCACAAAAAGGTGCTTGTCAATTTACATGTTTTTATGTAACCGTAACATCTGTCTCCTTCTCATTTTAAGATTAAAACATGTGGTGAAAGAAAAAACATACGGGAAAAGACTTGATGCTTTTAGCTTTGGCAAAAAGACAACTCAGGAAACTGATGATGATGCCCTGGGCATTAAAAAAAAGCACCAAAGTGTGTCAGTTACAGACTCACTTGAACTCGCCGTTTACTGTTTTTTCCAAACTGTTTTAATGATGATGTGTATTCAGAATTATAATTTTACATCTTTGATTGAAACATCAGGAATGCAGCATTTTGCAAAGTCAGCCTTCGCCTTGTATTTTTGAGATAACTATGACAACTAAAGAAATACCCCAAATGTGACTACAATAGGCAGCCCTGCTAAAATATTTTAACATCTGGGAAAGAACAAAGCTTGACAGGCCTGCTGCACCTAATTGATGTGGTTCAATATTTCCTGTTAGGGGGCAGTGTTTCGCCAACTGTCAATTCAAGCATGTTAGTGAGGTTAGTAGTAGAAATAAGCAAAATACTGCCAGCTGTTTCTATTTGGCATTCAGATCACAGTGTTTATGGGGATGTGTGCAGGGAGGAAAGCACCTGACATATGTGATTGGCACATCTAGATGGACATTTAAAAAAAATGATAGACGATTCTAAGGGCCAGAGCAAAAGTTATTCTCTATCTGTAAGGTAGAGTGTGGTATATAATCAGAAATCGGATAACTTTCATCCAGAAAGACATCTGAAAATGTGCTGTCAAGCTTTGGAGGTGACAAAGGCAGTTTTGACATCACCAGTCAAAGTGTCAGCCTTGATGTGTCAGATAAGCGGGGCCGCCTGAGTCATGGCATGACACTAAGCAGATAGCCAAGATGACATGTTGACATGTCAAAAAAGGGTGAGCGACAGATCTGGAGGGAACAACAGGCCTTTTGAAAGCGAGACGGCGAGATTGGCTGCATAGTGCCATACTTTAATACTGAGAAATGCAGGTCATCTGGTTCCAGATGTACCGAGAATAAATATCAACTTCATGGAAGCTCTGGTCAGGAATGAAAAGCAGCTCCGCTCTTTGCAGTTTTCAGTCGCGTCTGCTATTGATGTGAAGCACGTCTGCATAGGGCAGGCTGCTGAGACTGGGGACCTTGTTAAGGCGGGGAGTAGACTTCTGCATCCTGATCTCTCTTTCACTCTGTCTCTTCTTATTTGAGATTAAGACACTGAAGCAAGCACACTATGGCGATGATCTACTTGATCACATGAATAGAGCGCACTGCAGGCTGACAGCATTGCTGAATGAAAAACACCTGTATGTGTTGCCACATTAAGCACTGTTCTCCGTTACCTACAGTATCGGCTGAGTTTGATTGGCAAATCTTAATAAGCTCATTTGCAAATAAAACTCTTGGGAGTTGTGGGGTGAGTGTTTGCAGGACTATAGGTCAATATGGCAATTAGGAGATTTCCTGTCTTCCCTTATTAGCCAAAGTCCTCCATATTTCATTCTCTGCTGCAGAAGTATTCCTTTAACAAATTACACCTAATTATACGAGTACTAAAGTCTAGTGTCGGGGGCTTTAGCACCTAAAAGAGAGGGGCAGGCGCAGGTGGGGCATCCAAAAAGGTGAACAAACAAGACAAGAGAGAGGTTGTGTATGCTGACTGCTGCACTACAAAAGCTCAGAGTTTAGGATTACAATTATTCTGAGAGAGATGAAAGACGATGATTGTGTTGAGATGGAAGGAGAAACGATGAACAATGAGGGGATTTCAGCAGACAAAGCATCTTAAAAGCTGCACAACTGAGGTTTCCTCTGATGTTAGTTGGGAACTGGAATGGGGACAACATTAGCTGGGGTCAGGGACTGGTCAGAGCAGTGCTGGGAAGAGGCCAAGGCATGAAAGGAATATGAGGGTGACACAGATAAAGCAAAATGAATCTGATCTGAGAGGGTGTTTGGTGGACAGAGTTGTTAGAGGCCTGTAGGGACAGCAAATGACAGTGTAGTAGTGTATTTATAACAGCAGTGGAGGCAGGACTCGGAGCTAAAGGCAAGTTTGCAGAGATGCCACATGACGGGTTTTTGCTCTACTGGGTGGAAAAAAAAAAGAGAAAGAAGGTGAAAAATAAATGACCGTGGAAGAAAAGCAGGGTATAGATGTGCAGAAAAGCTTTTGAAACATTTTGCCAAATGGACAAATGTTATGAAATGAAGATTAAAAAGGGGATGAAACATATCTGGCTCATGCCAAAGCATTGAACACAGATGGATAGCAGCACTAGAGCTGTAGCATAATAGTCCTAATGCCCTGAGTGTAAATTACCCTGATGGCACCCAGCCAGGCTATGAATCACGCCTGACTTGGAGGATACAAGTCTAGTGATGTTATGAGTGGGCTACTTGGACTTTCTGCCATCTCATAACGATAAAGAAGGGCTGAATATCAAAAGCGGGACACGGACATATAGTGAGTCACCAGTGGGGGTTAGTACGACGGACAAAAGAGCAGACAAGTCACTGCTAAATTTAGAGTTTTTCCAGTTAGCACATACGTATGCACACTGCAGCCACTGGTGGTAATCTACAGAATAAAAAAGCAGAAATGTGGATAGTCTGGATTTCTGAGGATGTTGCATGTTACCTGCTTAGGGGTCTTCCAGGGTGAATAGTGACCTGTAATGTTGAGAGAACAAAAAAACAACTTGTGTTTTAGACGGAAAAAGATGAGATGTGAGGCTTATTTTTACCCAATGAAGCCAGGGTTTCCAGGGTATATCTTAGAGGATAATAAAATGAAGAAAACATCTGAATTAAATTTAAACCAAATGAAGACAATAATGGGACATGACAGCAGTGTTTGTAAGTGGTAGAAAGGACGAAGAAAAGGACGTCTAAAACATGATGAAAGCACAAAGCAAGCGATGGCAAATACATTTCTATGAGGCAGAAACCAACTGTGAATGTAAAGTGAGATTAAAATAAGACCTGAGAAAATTCACTGCTGCACATACAGAGTATTTGCTACTGATAAAACGTGATTTTTATTCTGATTTGGAGATATCAGGTAATAATGTTTGCCTTCTGTTAAATAGAAAGCGAGGCCAAACTTTATACTGATGCATTTTAAACCTGCGTTATTATATTTATAGCCACTTGGGGCAGCGGAAACAAGCTGTAAACAACACTGACAAATTATTACATTATTACACAAGTATTCCTAAAGGAAATTCAAATCTCCTCAGCTGCTAAATGCTTATCTATGAGCAGGTGCGATTATTAGAGAAATCAGCTGCATGTTTGCTGAACATTTTAGGCCATAAATCCAAATCAGCTGCATGAATAAAAAACATTAAAATGTAGTATTACAAATCCTGATCCTCACAAATACAGACACTCTGGTTTTACTAATGTGACATAGACAAACTGTTCTATATTATCATGTACTGCACACCAAATGAGGGCAGTCTACTGGTGACACAGGCTCCAGAGCTCAGTCAGCTGTGACAGGTAAAAAATATAAAAATGACTCACTGATAAATGTGCACCAGCCAACACACTTGAACATGTGCACACTTAGCCTCAAGAGAAAAAGTCACGGATACAGATGTAATCCTACAAACTGAGTCTTCAGTGAGCTCGCTGACTTTCAGTGTTTCAATGTCTGTCACATGGACAGCTGTCAGCAAGTCATCCAACAATAATCAAGATAAAGGTGGGGGTCTTAGTGGAGATTCAATTCCTATGTGATTAAATAAAATCTTTAATTCAGATTAAGCTCAGATTGAGCATCAGAATGGGGAAGAAAGGTGATCTGAGTGACTTCCAATATGGATTAGCTATTGGTGCCAGACAATGTGATTTATTTTCCCACATGTGCATCTGCAGGGTTTACAGAAAATCCTCCAAAAAAAAAAAAAAAGAGCAAATATCCACTGAGGGCCAGTTCTGAGTGAAAATGGCCTTCAGTGGTCAGAGGAGAATGAGCAGACTGCTTTGAGCTGTCAAATAAACACTCATTGCAACCAAGGTATGCAGAAGAGGATCTTTGAACGCAAATCTTAAAGCAGAGACGCTACAGCAGCAGAAGACCACAGCTAAGAACAGGAAACTTAGGATCCAATTCACACGGGCCCACTACAAACAACACAAAAACATGCATCCATCCTGCCTTGTGTTAACCATTCAAGCTGCTGCTAGTGGTGTAATGGTATAGGGGATATTTTCTTGGTACCCTTTGGGCACATCACAGCCTATCCCAGTACTGTTTCTGACCATGTCCCTCCCTTTATGACCGCAGTGTACCAGTCTTCTGATGGATGCTTCCAACAGGTTAAAATGCCGTGTCACAAAGCTGAAATCCTCTCAAACTGTTTCTTGAGCTGTACTCAAATGGTCTCCACAGTAACCGGATCTAACTCCTATAGAGTGTGGATGTGCATCTGACAAATCTGCAGCAGCTGTGCAATGCTGTCATGTCAGTATGAAGCAAAAATGTTTCCAGCATTTTGATGAATCGATGCCACTTCTGGCAGTTCTGAAGGGAAAAGTTGGCCCAACCCAATACTAGCAAGGTGTAGCCAATGAAGTAACTGGTGATTGTGGGCTACTGGTAGGGCTGCACGATTTTGCATAAAATGAGAATCACGATTTTTTTGCTTAGAATTGAGATCACGATTCTCTCACGATTTTCTTTTCCAGTATAAATATTTATTGCGCTTATTAACTGCACATCAACTTCGTAACAGTTGAGACTGAACATAAAAACAATAAATAAACATAAAAACAACAAATGTCTCGTTTTGTTGTTGCCGCAAAATGTTGTACTGCTTGAAATTCCGTCTCCACCGTTGCTCGACACTGCGTGTATAGAGCAGGTAGTGCAACAATAGAAAAATAGTTGCGGGACGGCACTGTGTAGCGTTTGTCTAGGGTGTTGATCATTTTCCTAAATCCCTCGTTTTGCACAGTGTTGATGGGAGCCCTATCTTTGGTCAGGTGATAAGTAATAGCCTCCGTAATTTCTTTGTGCCTGCGGGAGATCGACGGGTATAGGGAAGCGCTGTATAAGGTTCCCGTTATTGATGTTTGGGTGGTTGACCGGGACGGATTTTCTCCTGTCACTTTCTCATCATCCCTGACGTGCTCTCCGTTGTTTTGTCCCTGCTAATTTTAGCATCACACGGCACAGCTTCTGTATCACGTGGTATAAGGCTCCGCCCTTGTCATTTGTTGAGCAGGAAGAGTGAGCGCTTGTCTTCATGCAGATTACGTCCCGGATCAAAATGCGGTACAATCGTCGTCTTTTTTTTCTTTCTTTTTTTTCTTTAAATCGTTGTCATTTGGAAATGAGATCGCACATAAGTATGAATTGAGATCGCGATTTTCTAACGATTAATCGTGCAGCCCTAGCTACTGGGCTACTGTGTAACCAAACATTTAAACGGTGGTGTACATTAAATAATATGAATTGTTTTCAACTTAATAAATTAACAATTCTAAATTTTCTAAAGGCAACTAGTTGCTAATTTGTCTAACTACATAACCACCCAGCTACAATGATTTACCATAAAAGCCATCACATGTCCTATCCCCAGGTGATGTTTCACACCAGGAAGGTATGAAAAAAATTAACCTAGGTCTAAATCTGTTCATCTAAAGGTAACTAGGGGATCCAGAGGTAGTATAAAAGAACTGAACACTCAACATGAATCCATTGTTTCAGTTTTCACTTGAAATGAGGAAAGGCTGACCTCACTCAATACCTCTGATCAATCTTCAGCAAACATTTCATTAAAGCATTCAATATCAGCACTCAGCAGGACGGCAACTACACTAGGCAAAGAGACGTTTGTGAATATATCACTGATCTGTCAGTGCCTACAGCAATAAAACTCTGACTTTCACTTAAGTTCAGGGTGACCATAAAGTGGTTTTAGTTTGCAATGCAGTGCAGCAAGTTAAGAACATACTTTCTCCTTTCACTTCCCAATTCATCTTGCTTTGACCTTTAAAATGTTATTCCACACATTTCAGCTGCTTACAACGTTGTCCAAGCACAAGAACCAGAATTCTGAGTTGAGCGATGAAAGAAAATCATCAGTAAAAAAGTACAAGACATGCAGCAAGCATCAAACACTTGTATATATGCATTCATATACATGCAGACACAGAGTAATGAAGCACTTTTCTTTAGTGCAATTCACAGGAGCATATTAAGAAAAGGTGCATTCTCCATCTTCTTTATTCACTTTTTCTTTCTCTTGTCTTTCAAGTGCTGCCACAGTCTTCCCTCTGGGAAGCTTCAAGCACATGCAAATTGAGGGATCAAATTAAAGGGTGACTGCTCAAATTATGCACCAGCCTTCCCAGTCTTGGCCTGGCCAGACTCCAATCGCACTGTAAAAACATTCGTCTCACTGAGCCACTAGTGGAATGGTGACAACATGGAAATTAACAAAGGCTACAAAGAGAACTCCAGCAATGTTTTTCAGAGCACTGGCTCTTCTCTGTCAAAACAAGCCAAATAACATTTTTAGAAACAAACCAGTTACAGGAGCTTATCTAAAACTCAATAACAATTTCACTTTCAATGCACATGGGAGCATTTTTATCAGCGCAAAAAAAGAAAGACTTTTGAAGTGTTATAACTTGAGGGGCAGAGAAGGATTTTTGCTTTTATTCCCAAAGAAGGTGAATCAATGAACAGCTTTCCAGAATACCTAGATTTGAGTCTTTGTGGAGGGTACAGTGAGCAAAAGAGGCAACAACAGAGCAGAACCTCCACATGGGTAAAAGAACCTGAGATAAGCCAGACCGACAGAAAGAGGGTGAACTACCTGGCATCACTGACGGAGGTGATCCACGGGTTAAAGACACTGTTAGCTCAGGCATACCAGACATTTATGCAGACGTAGGTGTCAAAGTGCCCCATGGCTAGAAGTTGAGAAGGGGTGAGCGGCTGAGAGAGAACACCAAGAGAGAGAGGGAGGGCAAAAGAAGCTGTCCGTGGTGCTGAAAGCTCTTAGCCCAAATGCTAATCAGATCTGTCAGCTCAGCTACAGAGAGCTACATGAACCCTGCAGCGTCCAACTTGCACTTAAGTTCTGAGCTAACTGGTGTCCTGTCCTACTGTATGCGTCAGCCTTTTCCAATATAAGTATAACAACAGCAATACACATCAGTAAAAGTGCACAGGTAATGACTGCGTCTGACTCCACTCCATCCATGGCACAGCTTCAGGTAATAGTGAAGGGCATTTGGTTGAAGTTGTGCCTCATTTTCAATTCCTGGTTTCTGGGCAAAACTCTAATTAAAGAGTTTGGAACTGGAAATGTTTCCAGAGATGCTGGAGCTGGCAGGGACTTCACAGAAAGCACTGGTTCTCAAAAGCGCCAAATTAAATCTTACATGTTGGCTTATTAAAACCTGCTGCTGTCAAAATTAGCTTCCAATGGGGAAAAAATGGGTGAATGTCATTAAAAAAAAAAACAGCAAAAAATATCAGCGGTTGTGTTACTGTTTGTTCAGAACATAGACTGTATTTAAAGTTCTGTATTGAGAGTTCTTAAGTGCCTAAAACCTGCATTATATGTAGTGACCATTAGGGGGCTCCTTGGGTTACCAAAAGTAGTCTAATTAAATAAAAAAAACTGACAGAAAACAACCCTATTTCT